AATTCTTTGATTGATCCTTAAGCATTCCATTTTCTTATAAAGCTTTAAATGACAGTCCCATTGAGATTAATGGCATTATTCGTTCTAGCATCAAGTTTGAGTTATTGCCTAACATTTCTATTCAAGGCAATTTTCATGTATTATGTCATAACTCTTTTTCTACTCATATTATTATTGGTCGTGATTTCTTAAGAAATAACAAGTTATTTTTTGTTGTCAACTTTGCTGATGATGAACCAAAAGATAGAGTACTCCTTTTTTCTCAAGTTGCCTCTGCTGAAATCATTGAGCATAAATCTGTTTTTTATTCATCTTCTTCTGATGTTGATTTTGACTCTTTTATTAAAAATAAATTATTATCTCTTTTTCATGAAATAGAAAACACACATGTTCCTGTCATCATTCATGATTATCTTGTCAAAATTAATTTAAAAGATAATTCTTTTTATTCTTTTGCATCGCGCAAATTTGCTTGGACAGAACGTGAGAGTTCAGATGAGAAAGATCACTGATGATCTTTTAAATAGAGGAATTATTAAGCTCAGTAATTCTCCATATTGCGCACGCGTAGTTCCAGTTAGGAAAAAAAATGGCTCTATGCATCTTGTTGATTTGCGTTCACTTAATAATAGAGTTGATTTGCGCCCATTTAATAATAGAGTTTTTAAATAGAAATATCCTTTTCCTCTTATAGAAGATTGTCTTACGCGAGCAATAAATCTGTTTTTACTTCCCTTGATTTAAAAGATGGCTTCCATCAAATTAAATTACATCCAGACTGTACTAAATATTTTTCGTTTGCCACTCCTGGTGGTCAATTTGAATTTTTACGCCTTCCTTTTGGTTTTTCTAAATTTCCTGCTGAGTTTCAAAAACGTCTTGTTCAAATTCTTCAGCCTTTAATAAAAGAAAGTAATTGTATACCCAGCAAACCAAAATATTGCCGCAACATTGCTGCAATATTGTAATATTGCCGCAATATTGCTGCAACATTCTGTGTTTGCTGGGATATATTGATGATATTCTTATCCCTTCGGTATCAGTCGATCATAACCTTGATACTTTAAGGGAAGTTCTTTTATTGCTCAAACGCTATAATTTATAGTTAAATTTTCAGAAATGTTGTTTTCTGAGAACGACTATTGAATATTTAAGTTATATAATTTCCCCTTCAGGGATCACGTTAAGTTTCAGACATGTTGACGCTGTCGATAGATTTCCGCAACTGAAAAAATAATTGAAGTACAAAGGTTTCTTGGTTTAACCAATTATTTTAAAAAATTCATTAAAGATTATGCAGTCAAGGCCATCTTTTACAAAAGTCAACTGTCTTCAACTTTGAAGAAAGTTGTCAGCGAGCTTTTCAGTTACTTAAGAAAGAATTAATTACTTATTCCGTTTTACGTTTATATAACCCGTTTTCTGCCACTGAAATTCATACTGATGCTAGTGCCGCTTGTTGTAATTTGTTCCAGTTCTAAATAAATAACACTTTATTTTGAAAGAATATATTTTGTCTTTTATTTACTAAACAGTCTTTTATATCGCAAGATTATTACACTTAAAAAGGAAAAGCAGTCAGTTAGTTAGTGTTCGAGATTCACAATCGCATCTTTAAAATTCGAACTTAACCGGCATCGAGAAACTTCTCGAAAAATTTATCTTATAACAAACTCGACCGTTCGAGTCATCTCTCGCTTTTTTCGCGCCATAAAAAACGCTCAGTATATACAATTGACAACAACATTGTCAACCGCCGTCAAAATCCACGCAACGGTCGGGCATGCGCGCCTATACGTCACGATCAGCTGATGGCCAATCAGCTGATCGAAAAGGGTCGTGCGCATGGCAAACGCCGCAACGCTATTTCCTGACCTCATCGGCGGCCAATTATGCGCGGCGCCATGAGGTCACCGCCAAATTTTGAAGTTAATTGGGCCACGTCGCAACGGGGTCCAAAATTCGCCCGGTATATAATGAGCCCAGCGAGAGGGCACGCGGAAGTCTTGCGCTTTTCGGAGTCATTACTTTACACTCACACCGCTTAGTTACGCCGCTTTGTCAAACCGCTTATAACGACCGCTTGCTCTTTTCGGACCACCGCTTTTCTCTCTATCAATATCGCAGACATATCCGCACGACGACCGCTAGTTTTTTGGACACTGAACTTTCTCGAACGTCACGCCGCTCGCGATACGTCGGACAAAAATCGCACTATCCCGCTGCACTCGATAATTGTTACTTTTGAAGGCCTGACTGCAATAAACTTTTGTTATCTCTACTTGACTTTTTCACTGCACTATCATCACTTTTCCGCGGCTCACTGTCGGACTCGCTCGCGAACATTCTGGTCCTTCGAGCCGGATTACCACCATCCGCGTCCGCTGTTTCGGAGTGGTCCTCCCAGTGCAGTGCAGTTCTGTGGTGTGCGGTGATTTCTGAAAATAGGAAGGAACAATGAGTGCTGATTTGAAGGCGTTGTTCGAGGCGCAGAACGACATCCATGGACGAATGTCCCGCTCCGTAGACAATCTGCGTAAGATGGGCGTCTCGAGCATCACCGCCGAAGCAATCCAGGCTCGCCTCCGCATCCTCGAGACGTTATGGACGAGATTCGAGGCCCATCACGACCTCATCGTGGCGGCTCTAAAGGACAAATATCTCGAAAGTGAGTACGCGAAAGCAGATTTTATCGATACTGCGGAAACCACTTACGTGACACAACGGAGCATGTTAGTCGATTACGCTAACAAGCTCAAGGGCGAGAAGCACGCCACGCTCAAAGGCGAGTCCTCTCCAGAGCAGGCTCCTAAGACGTCGTTGCCGCGCATCAAACTCCCGACGTTCTCTGGGTCCTACGAAGAATGGCCCTCGTTCCGCGATCTCTTCCTGTCCGTCATCGGGGAGAATGCGTCAGTCTCCGACATCGAGCGCCTCCACTATCTCCGGTCTTGCGTCAAGGGACCCGCTGAAAGGTTGATCAAATCTTTGACTGTGACCGGTGACAATTATCAGCGCGCGTGGGTGATTCTGTGCAGACATTTCGAAAACAAACGAGAGCTCATTCGCTCTAATTTCGCCGCGTTTACTTCGGTCCCGAAGATGAAGTGCGAGTCCGCGGAAGAACTCGGTCGCATACACAACGCCGTTACGACCGCCGTGAATGCGCAGGAGAGTATCGGGAGGCCCGTCGACTCCCATGGTATGGACCTCCTCAACTTCCTCACTATCGAGCTCTTCGATTCGCGCACACGGATGGAATGGGAGTCCTCGATCAGCGACTCCACTGATCCGCCAGACCACGACACTCTCGTCAATTTCATCGCAAAGCGCATTCTCACTCTGAACGCCGCGAAACCGAGAGTATCGTCAAGGACCGCTGAAAGTACGCCGCGAACTGCGAAGGCTCACCACTCGAAGACCGGCTCCGACTATTCAAAGTGCGCACTGTGCCAAGGAAAGCACACGCTCATAGTGTGTGGCGACTTCAAGGCGAAGTCCGCGAGCGATCGGAAGTCCTTCGTAGAACAAAACCGACTGTGCTATAACTGTCTCGGGAATCACTTGGTCTCCAAATGCCAGTCCGTCAAAACCTGTTTCACGTGCAAAGGCAAGCACCACTCTACACTGCACGACGCGTATAGTTCGTCCTCTTCCAACGAAGTAAGCGCGCTAGCTGCGATGCACTCCTCGCCCGAGCGCAAGGCGATCCTTCTCGCGACAGCTCGCCTGCTCATCGCCGACCGCGCCGGGCATCTTCACCCAGCTCGGGCGATGCTCGATCAAGGCTCCGAGGTGTCGATCGTCTCGGAGGCGCTGGTCCAACGCCTGAAGCTCCCCCGCACAAGCTCTTCGGTGTCTATCATCGGCATCGGCGGGGCTCGATCCGGGTCAACCCGCGGCAGAGTGGCGCTCAACCTCTCCTCCACGGCCACGGGAACCAAGCTGAAAGCGGTCGCCTTCGTGCTGCCGCGACTGTCGGCATATCAGGGGTCTTCGGTAGCCAACCTCTCCTCCTGGCCTCACGTCCGTGGCCTCGAGCTCGCCGACCCCCGATACCAGGAGCGCGAGGAGTCGAGATATTGCTGGGTGCGGAAGTCTGCTCGACCATCTTGGAGGCCGGGCTCCGCAAGGGTGGTCCTCGTGAGCCAGTCGCACAGAAGACGGCCCTAGGATGGATCCTGTCGGGAGGATCTAGCTCGGCGTCCTTCCAGGGTCCCCGGAGCTCCCTGCAATGCACGGTGGACCCAGAATTGAACCAACTCGTACACAGCTTCTGGGAGCAGGAGAAGGAATTCCCTCCCCCCGCCGCACTCACACCGGAGGAGGAACAGTGTGAGATCCTCTTCACGCGCACTTACCAGCGGACTGCATCCGGTCGGTACGTTGTACGCCTTCCGTTCTCTTCCTCGCCAACGTCGCTTGGTGAGACCCGAAAATCCGCTGAACGCCTCCTGAACGCCATGGACCTCCGGTCCAAGATAGACCCGGAGTTCGGTGCCAAGTATCGGGAATTCATGCAGGAGTACGAGGACCTGGAACACATGAGTCCTGTGAGCTCGACTAATACAGCTGCATGCTACCTACCGCACCACGGAGTCCTCTGCCAGTCCAACTTCGGCTCCAAGCTCCGGGTGGTATTCAATGGATCGCAACGCATCACCTCGGGGGACTCTCTGAACAGCCACCTGATGGTCGGCGCCAACCTGCTTCCGGCCTTGGCTGACATTCTTCTCCGCTGGCGTCGGCACCGCTTTGTATTTGTCACGGACATCGAGAAGATGTTCCGGCAAATCCTCGTCCACCCCGAAGATCGCCGCTTCCAACGGATTCTCTGGCGCCCGAGAGTCTCTGAAAGAACGCAAGAATATGAGCTCAACACCGTCACCTAGGGGCTCGCCTGCGCGCCGTTCCTCGCCGTCCGCACACTCCGCCAACTGGCTACTGACGAGGAAGCACGAGGTCTAAGGGGGGCCCTCGCTCTACGCCATGATTGCTACATGGACGACGTCATAACGGGAGCCGACTCCTTGCACCATGCCGTCGCTCTGCAAACAGAGCTCCGAGAGCTTTGCACGGCGGGCGGGTTTCCGCTCCGGAAATGGGCCGCCAACAGCGAATCCATCCTTGAAGGGGTGCCCTCTGATCACCGGCTGCAGCTAGCGCATCACTCCTGGGAGAACGAGGTGCATTCCACCTTGGGCCTGCGCTGGCATCCCGCCAGCGACGACTTCTCCTTCGCGATCCAGGCTCCAGTCACAGGCGGATACACCAAGAGGCGAGTCCTGTCAGAAACGGCGCGGTTGTTCGACCCTCTAGGATGGCTAGCTCCCGTCATCATCCGCGCCAAGATTCTAATACAGTCTGCATGGCTGAAAGGGCTGGATTGGGACACTCCGCTCCCAACCGAGGACGCCCAGCCCTGGCAGCGTCTCCTCTCCGAGCTCCATGTGCTGGGGCGCCTCAGGGTGGAGCGCTGGCTAGGGACGACTCATCAGGCGTCGCAAATTGAGATCCACGGATTCGCCGACGCGTCCGAACGTGGCTTTGCTGCCGTCGTCTATCTCCGCGTGACCACTGCCGACGGGACGACCACTCATCTTCTCGCCGCTAAAACCAAGGTCGCTCCCATAAAGCCCGTGACACTCCCGCGGCTGGAACTTTGCGCTGCCTCCTTGCTCGCGAACCTCACGTGCCATCTCCGGACTTCACTAGATATACCGTCAGCGCCGGTATACCTCTGGTCCGACTCCAGGGTCGCCCTCCACTGGATCAAGGGTCACGCCTCGCGATGGAAGACCTACGTGGCCAATCGGGTGTCGCTGATACAACAGCGGCTACCCGAAGCACAGTGGAGGCACGTTCCTGGCCAGGATAATCCAGCCGACTGCGCATCCAGAGGAATCGCCCCGTGGGATTTGGTGGACCACCCCCTCTGGTGGAGTGGCCCCGACTGGCTCCCCAGGGACTCGTCGCTATGGCCAGACCAGGACAACCAGACCATGATGGGCGAGGTCCCTGAAATTAAAGGAACTATATTAGTCGCCACATGCAGGGACAAACCGGAGCCGGAACTTCTTCTTCAGTTTTCCTCTCTACACCGGCTCTTACGTGTGTCTGCATGGTGTCTCCGCTGGCGGCCATCCGGTCGTCATCCTCTCAGCACCGTTCTGCTGCCGAGCGAACTTGACGTCTCTCTCTTCCGCTGGCTCAGAGTCGTCCAAGGGATCCATTACGCCGCTGAGATCGCTGCCGCTCGAGAATCTCGCTCGATGCCCAAGGGCGGCCACCTGGCTAAGCTGCACCCCTTCATCGACAGCCAAGGAATCCTCCGCGTTGGGGGTCGCCTGAAACACGCGATATTGACCTACGATGAGCGCCACCCCATGATAGCGCCTCCAGCTTCATGGCTTACCCAGCTCATCGTAGAGTCTTGCCACCGACGGACGCTGCATGGAGGCACGCAGCTCACACTGGGACTACTCCGCCTCCGCTTCTGGGTGCCGCGAGGTCGAGCCGTGGTCAAGCGGATCCTACACCGATGCGTGACGTGCGTACGCTGGCGAGCCAACACTCCGCGGCCTCTGATGGGGGATCTCCCGCCAGGTCGTGTTACTCCAGCGCGCCCCTTCCTGAGGACAGGGGTCGATTACGCCGGTCCGATATTCCTCCGCACATCCAAGGGGCGAGGACAGCGAGCACACAAGGCCTTCATAGCCTTATTTGTCTGCCTTTGTTCCAGAGCAACTCACCTGGAAGTAGTGTCCGACTACTCGCACGGACGCATTCCTTGCCGCATTCCGCAGGTTCATCTCCCGTCGAGGCCTGTGCGAGGAAATGTACTCCGACTGCGGCACCAACTTCGTCGGAGCGGACAGGCAGCTGCGAGAGTTCTTCCGTGCGTCTTCCCCGACGGCCGTCGCATCGCGCAGGGAATCACCAAGGAGGGCGTATCCTGGCGCTTCAACCCTCCTGCCGCGCCGCACTTTGGAGGGCTATGGGAGGCCGCGGTGAAATCGACCAAGCATCACCTGCGACGAGTGATCGGAGAGTCTACTCTCACCTTCGAGGAGATGAGCACTCTCCTAGCGCAAATCGAGGCTTGCTTAAACTCTCGTCCATTACAGGCCTTGTCGGATGATCCGGATGACCTGTCTGCCTTGACTCCAGGTCACCTCCTCATAGGCGCTCCGCTGTTGGCAATTCCGGAACCTTCGCTGGCAGACCATTCACCGAACACGCTGTCGCGATGGCAGCTACTCCAGCGAATGCGTGACCACTTCTGGCAGCGATGGTCACAGGAGTACCTCCACGCCTTGGCACCTCGGTCGAAATGGCTCAAGGCCGAGCCAGCACCAGAAGTCGGAGCACTGTGCCTCATCCGCTCGGAGTCCACCTCGCCCACCCATTGGCCCCTCGCGAGAATTACCCGGTTACACCCCGGAAGCGACGGAACGGTCCGCGTCGTGACCGTCCGAACCTCCACCTCGGAATTCGTCCGGCCGGTGGTGAAACTTGTCCTCCTGCCGGGGGTCAAGGAAGCTCATGCGTCCGCGAACGAATAGCGCTCGAACTATTCCCTCCGCGTGTCACTTTCGCGACGCTGTATATATGTAATATAGTAACCGCACTCTACTTCACTCGTTCATATTGTATATTTCTTCACCACTCCACTCCGCGATCAGCCGCTTATCGTTCACCGCATACCGCCGAGCGACATTAACTAATCACCCACCTCAATTGTGCGAAAATCATTTCATCGATCATCGCATTCCGCATTGTACTATACACCATCTAATCACTGTAAATATTTCACTTCATATCACATCATTTTCCACCTCGAAATAATCCGACAAACTGAGGAACACGTGTCGGCGTGTTACGTCACACATTCCTCTCATTGATCGCGATCCACGCTTCATCAATTGAACCGCTCGCGACACCTGCCCGTCCCCGCACGCACTCGCGAGTTTCGTCACGCGCTGACGAGGCGGGCGGGATGTTCGAGATTCACAATCGCATCTTTAAAATTCGAACTTAACCGGCATCGAGAAACTTCTCGAAAAATTTATCTTATAACAAACTCGACCGTTCGAGTCATCTCTCGCTTTTTTCGCGCCATAAAAAACGCTCAGTATATACAATTGACAACAACATTGTCAACCGCCGTCAAAATCCACGCAACGGTCAGGCATGCGCGCCCATACGTCACGATCAGCTGATGGCCAATCAGCTGATCGAAAAGGGTCGTGCGCATGGCAAACGCCGCAACGCTATTTCCTGACTTCATCGGCGGCCAATTATGCGCGGCGCCATGAGGTCACCGCCAAATTTTGAAGTTAATTGGGCCACGTCGCAACGAGGTCCAAAATCCGCCCGGTATATAATGAGCCCAGCGAGAGGGCACGCGGAAGTCTTGCGCTTTTCGGAGTCATTACTTTACACTCACACCGCTTAGTTACGCCGCTTTGTCAAACCGCTTATAACGACCGCTTGCTCTTTTCGGACCACCGCTTTTCTCTCTATCAATATCGCAGACATATCCGCACGACGACCGCTAGTTTTTTTGGACACTGAACTTTCTCGAACGTCACGCCGCTCGCGATACGTCGAACAAAAATCGCACTATCCCGCTGCACTCGATAATTGTTACTTTTGAAGGCCTGACTGCAATAAACTTTTGTTATCTCTACTTGACTTTTTCACTGCACTATCATCACTTTTCCGCGGCTCACTGTCGGACTCGCTCGCGAACAGTTAGTTAGTTAAAAAAAAACACACTAGATCAAAAATGTAAGTACATGGTTATTACCAACCTAAAAACATAAAAGGACCTGAACAAGCTAATAAACTATTAAATAACTCTGATGAGCAACAACAAAAATATATTAAATATCAACACTGCTGTCGCGGGAATTTTGCTTCAAAAACAAGAGTCTAATAATTATTATAGTCAGGCAACGAATAAAGCAGAAGCTAATTATCATAGCTTTGAGCTGGAAATGCTTGCGATTGTTAAAACAATTGAGAGATTCCATATTTATCTTAGAACATATATAATATGAAAGAGGAATTGAACGTTGAGCCTGAAGCAAACATCTGTGCGAAAGAGAAAGCTATAGACCCCCAAATGTTTGTAATGCGCATGCGTTGATCTCAGTTGTCAATCTCACATGTGTTTTCACGTTGATTACACGTTATTATTACAGAAATGTCAAATACATAGCAAAAATGCCAAACGCATATTGTGTGTTGTGTGGTAATCGCGATAAATTGGTTTCATATTATACGTAAGTAACTGTATAAAATATTATATGCATGCATTGAATTATGTGATAACAAATAGGTTATGTTTTTATATATTATTTAATGATATTACATGTTTTATATTTATTTGTTTATATATAAAATAGATTTCCGAAAAATAAGGAATTTCGTAAAAAATGGCTGTCTTTTTGTGGCATCAACGAAAAAGTTTTGAACACAACAACTAAATTATGTTCAAATCATTTTCAAAAAGAAGATATCATCAACAAAGCGAAAAGTTCAATCATTAAGCCCAATGCTGTGCCGTGCATTATTATTAAAAAGAAAAGGTTACACATAGAAAATGTACCATTGAGCGGTAATATAACATTACTCTTTTTATATCCTTACTTGAAATGACTCGTAAATTGATTAATGGAGTGACAATAAATTAATTAATAATCATCTTCACAGAAAATTATGCAATAATAAATCTTTCACCGTCAAGTTATGAAAGAACTGCCAAAACTGAAACAGTTGCAGAAGAATCTAAAACAAATCAAATTGCCACTGATGAAATCATTGTCGAGACTGAAAAAGTTACAGAAGAGATTAGAACAAATCAAATTGCCACCGATGAAATTGAAAATATGTATTTTAACAATGCATCTCACAAAGGTAAAATTTCTCATGATTAATTTTTTTTTAATTGATTAATTTTTCTTGATTCCAGAAAATATAGCAGTAAATCGGCCATCAACACCATTAAGTTCTAGGAATATTGAGTGCTTTCAGACATCTATCAAAACGTACGTGTACCTCGCTATGTTGGTGACATTCAAATGTCACATATTTATACACCTAGAAGAGCTAAAAGAGCTTTAAATATAGCAAAGAGGATCATACAAAATCAACAAAAAAAGATAAAAGCTTTAAAACAATCACAAAGAAGATTAGTTACTCGCCTAAAAACGATGGAAGGATTAATAGGACATTTGAAACAAAAAGATCTATTATCAGAAGCGACTGCTGAAAATTTAATGGTAATTTCAAATATATAGGTCGATATTCATAGTCCGTCCTTATTTTAAGATCGTTTTAAATAATGTTTTAAGACGCTAATACGGCTCTGTGATTGGCTTATGACATTTTAAGACTGTACTTAAGATGATCTTAAATATAAAATCCGAATATGAATACCAACCGTAGAGGACCCAAGGAGAATAAAGTCAAAATAATGTTATTTGACATTATATTGACCAAAAAATAACCAAAAAATGACGTGAAAATGACATTTTTTGTCATTTTTGGTCAATATGATATCAAAATGACATTATTATATAGGATGTATCTTTTATTAATTGAAATATATATAAGGAAATCAGAAAATGGGGAATGAGAAATTTGTATATTTAAATAATAAAGTAAAATAAATAATAAATATGTGAGTAGTAGGAGTAAGGGGGTTCTAACTCAGGTCCTCTCAGGAGGGGTGTGGCGCGAGGGGAACCGTGGTGCGGGGGAGTGACGTCACGCGCGGGGAAGGAGGAACCGCGGCGCGCGGAGGGTGACGTCACCCGCGGGGAAGGGGGATCCGCGGCGCGAGCGATGGACGAGGGGGTCCGCGCAGTGAAGGGGGATCCGCGGCGCGACCGATGGACGGTGGTGTCGTCAGAAGGACAGCGCTACGTGTGGGAAAAGGACAGTGCAAAGTGTGAAGAGGACAGTACTACGAGTGCGATAAGGATGGCGTTAACGTGGGACAAGGACGACGTATAGGTGAGAGAAGGACGACGCAAAGGTAAGTGAACAACGAGTATATTCTAAGCGAAAGAGAGAGAACGATAATATCGAGAATAACAACGCATATGAAAGAGAGAACGATAGCGTCAAGACGACGTGTACAAGAGAGAGAGAACGATAATATCGCGAGACTTACAATTAGTGCGCGCGCGAAAGAGAGAACGATAGCGCGAAGACTTACAACTAGCGCGTGCGAGAGAGAACGATAATATCGCGAGACTTACAACTAACGAGTATGATAAAGATAACAATATTTAAAACTAGCGCGAAAGAGACGCAAGAGAGACGCAAAGATGGGAACGCATGGAGAGGCGCATAAATAATTAGATTGTTTTTAAATTAAAATATATATAAAATTTATTAAAAATATGTATTTACAATTGTGTGTGTGTGTGTGTGGTGTGTGTATGTACTTAAAATTAAGATTATAATAAAATAAAATATAATAATAAAATAATAATAAAAATAATTTGATGGTGCGGGAGGGGGGGGGGGGTGAAGCCGCTCCTGGAAGACTAGGGGATGTGTCGGGCTGAGGGACTTCCGCTCCTGACCCTCTCGTCGACTATTCATGTACTCTCGTAAACTCTGAAATTAAACATAATAATTGTAAATGTTTTAAATTTATTACACATTAGCAAAAATATTTTTACCTTCAACGTTTCCAAGTCATGTCGTAGCATATTCTCATGCACATCTTCTTCGAATTTGTCTATACCTTTACATAATTCAAGATGTTCACAAAGTCTATTTCCGAAACATTTTACTTTAGTGTGATTAGGATCTTCCGCATATATACAATCTATACAAAAACTCGCATTACATTTTTTAACTGAGTTCGCCCAAAATTTTCGAGTTTTGAGAAATCTGTTCAACGAAATTGTGCGAGGTTTTTTCAAGCCGAGCTCACGATTTCTTATAAATTGAACGACTGAGGTTTCCAGATTTTTCTTCGAAAGTTGTTCCCGCTCATACTGAAGTAATTCTTCAACATCACTAGTTCGAAAATCGAAATCAGGTTCCTTATCAGATGATTTTCTTTCGCATATAATTTTCCATTTCGCTCTTCTCTCTCTCTCAATCTCAATTTTTTCCACCACAACGGGATCCATCCAGGCATCATATTCATCATATTTTCATTGCCGATGATACGTTTTTCTTCAACATCATTATCATCCATATCTTCATTACCGATGATTACCGTTTTCTTCGGCCATTTCACTAACGTAACACACACAAGACTAATGAAACGCAAAGAACAACGAAAGAAATGATACTCTAGTGCAGCAGACTCCTCTTCATTATATATCTTTTTAATATCTCGCGTCTCATTCCAATAGAGCATCGCGTCTCATCTACCTCAGCATTTCTCTACATCTTTGGCGGAGCGTGTTGAGAAAATTGTCGACTATTCTTATTCGTATGGAAGGAAAGAAATAAAAATCATAGATGGAATAAAAATAATTATTTATTGCACGCATCGTAAAGAATATCATTTACAGCACATGTTAATAATTCGCAATCGATCAAATGATTCGCTGTCAAAGACATCACTCTCACGTATCGTTTTTACAGCATCGCATACAGTAGTAATATTATTACGTTTTGTAATACAGTTTCAAATTATTTAAATTTTTCATTTAACAAGATACGTATTCTCGCATAACCAATTGTGCATATGATCGATACAATTTCAAAATTAAATAAATGTAAAATGTTTCTGGTTTCATGTACAAAGAATTTCGCATAATGCAAGTTTTACAATTTTCGATGATACATTTCAATCGTTAAATCTCCAATTCTTAATGGGGAGCAGTCGATTGTAGAAATTGTTCAACGTCTGCTTGCTTCCGCATCACAAATTCCACATTGAAAAGGGTAACACTATTTGATTGCCTCGATTATCGCCGAGAATCAGCTCCAACGTACGAAACGTTCCAAACGCTTATTCCAATGTCCAAATACTTGTACGACGTCGGGGTTAGAGCGTACCTTCTTCCAAGTATGCGCGAGCTGCACGAACGAGGCTGAAACTATAAAAAATATAAATAATTAGACAATATTAAAATCAATAAGTAAAAATTTTTTAAATGAATTTAAACTTACGTGTCCGCATTTCTGCTTCTTACACAGCTGAGTTTCACCGTTTCGAATCGGAACATAGAAATTCATATTTTTTCAGCGATGAACCTTTCACACGCGCGATTGATGCAATACTGCAATCCGTATTAGAAACAATATCAATTCAAAATAGTATCCCAAATTGCGATGTAGAGGGGATTATTGCTGACGCAACATTTTAATTTCCTCCAAAATTTTTGTCGCGTCGATGTACGGCTGCGATGACATCATCATCTTCGGAACAAAGATTTAGCTGAAATTGCTAAAATCGGAAGCGCCGATGTACGGCTGCTCCTGATACAATCACGTCAAAATTATTCAAATGTACGTGACAAATAGGAAAAAATAACCCACCAAGGTTAAAATGTGGTATCATTCCTAAACAAGATTTAGCTGAATTTGCTAA